TAGTGAGGCATGGGGGGAGGGAAGCCCCTGATACCAACCTCTCCAGGTGCCCCATGTCATACAGCACCCACAGCAGCCGCTGCAAGAGAGCACAGACCATTCAAGTGGGGTGGGGGGGGGGTCAGGCTCCTGCCGCCCCCTCCCCCCCACAAGGCAGAGGGGATGGAAGAAGGCGCAGGGGGAGCTGGCCCGGACAGACAACCAGGGCACCACGTAGGAGGAGCATGAGGAACAGAACGAGAGACACAGGCAGACAAGCCAGCACAGCCGGCGCAGACAGGCGGACACGGGTGCAGCGACAGACACAGGCAGACCCAGGGACACAGGCAAAGACGGGCACAGAAAGACAGACGATGCACGGGGGAAGAAGCCGCACGCAGGTCCATGGCGGGGGGTCAGGGGTGGATGGACACAGGCAGGGGCTGGATGAGGAGTCGGAGACAGATGGATTGAGGCGGGGAAGCCCCTGAGGAGGGGTCCCAAGGGGTCTCGGCTGGGGGCACAGGGGGGTTGGAGAGGCCATCGGCTGGGGTCCAGCGGTGCCCACCTGCTGCAGCTGCAGCAGCTCCAGGCTGTCGGTGTGCAGGTCGATGGAGGGGTTGATGGCGCACACCATGAAGGCCACCTCCATGTGCCGGTCGCAGCGCAGGTACGAGCCCTTCAGGTACAGCCAGCTCTGTGGGGACGCAGCCATCACCCCAGGCACCTGAGTTCCCCCCCCGCAACACACACTAAGGCCCCCTGGGCTCCTGGGTTCACTGCCCCCTCCCCCCCGCATGCAGACCAAGCCCCGCAGATGCCTGGGTTAGCTGCTCCTAGACGGATGCCTGGATTCATTGCCCCACCATGCCATGGTCCCCCAGACACCCATGCCCACTGCCCCCCCGTGCCACAGACCCCCAAACACCTGGGTTCACCCCCCTCACAGGCTCCTGAGTTCACTGCCCCCAGACAAACACCTGGATTCACTTGCCCCCCATGCCAGGGTCCCCCAGACACCTGGGTTCTCTGCCACACCTGCAGAGCAGGGGGGCTGGGCCCGTACCCGCTCGGCGACGCCGGCACTGACAGTCTGGCCGCGCCGGTCCTCGTTGCCCTTGCCGTGCCAGGTGACCTCGGCCGTCTGCTCGCCGTCGCGCCCAAACACGACCCAGGCGTGGTCCTCGGACAGCGCCAGATGCACGTCGGGCAGCCCCAGCGCCTGGCAGGCCCCCACCACCGCGAAGGCCACGCCCGAGCTGTCAAGCTTCGTGCCTGCGGGGATGGGACGGGTCAAGGGGGGCACGGGGGGTGAATGCCTGGGGGCAGAGCGGACGGGCACAGGGTCTGGCAGGGCCAGGGTCCTACCCGGGGTGGGAACCTGAATCGTGCCCATGTGCCCCTTCAGTTGAGTCAGGTGGGAATCAATGTGCCCCCCACGTGTCCCCTGTACCGGTGATGAAGCTGAAGAGGGACTGGATGTGCGCGCGGTCCTTGAAGTAGGAGCGGCTGAGGCTGTTCCAGATGACGTCCGAGACCTTCTTGACGAGCTCGCGGGAGGAGAAGCCGTCGGGCCGGGGGCAGAGGGACAGGTCCACGGCGCCGCGGATCTGGGCGGTAAAGCGGGCGTAGAGGGCGGCCACGATGCTCAGGTCGGCCACGGGGAAGTAGGTGGGCGGCGCGGCGGGCTCGGGGCTGGGCCGCGGCTCGAAGCTGATGCCTGGCACATTGGTGGGCAGCACGCGGTTGACGGCCAGGAAGTGCTCCACGAAGCCCAGCACCAGGGAGAGCAGCACCAGGTCCGGC